CTGCCAAGTTAGGAGGAATGTGTTGATAATTTAGGGAAGATGGTTAAATGGTGGAATTCACAACAAGTGTTTGACCGCTCCTTGACCCTCAGATAAAGGTGGGAAAAAAAGAGCTGTTGAAGCTAATTGAGCTAAGCAAATGGTGGCTGTCTGATGTTCTACTGTATAAAAAGGCTGAGCTAAAATAAACCAGGGCTTCAGTCTCTACTGACACTCCTCCCAAGTATCTTTCTCTCTCTTCTTTCATCCTCACTCCCCCTCTCAGGTGCTGTTCGTTTTGGCCAGCTGGCACTGACAGAGGACAATGCACATAGTAGAAAATCCAGTTAAGTCAGTCTCCTGGCCTCTGTTTTGATCTTTAAGCCCATGCTTCTCCCAATCTGGAGAAGATTGGCCAGGACTTGTGGGTTCTCTGGGGTAGGGAATATACTTACAGAGTAGACTGAGGGGTGGTTTCCCAGAATGCCATGTAACAGGAGATCCTGCAGGGCTTGAAAGCTGAGCAGACCTGGGAACATGGACGTCCAAGTGTGAGTCCATCCTGACCCGTCTCCCCCAACAGTCTGTGTTGCCCCTGATCCTGAGACTGAGTGCTCTTTCGAGGAAACTGGTACTTCTTAAGTCCCAACAGAACTGGACCAGTTCCATCACTGCCTGCCAGCACGTGGGACCTCAAGTAATCATCATTGAGAGTGATGAAGAACAAGTATTCCCAGTAGACATGAATGACTCACATATGCAACTGGCCATTGGGCATCTGAGGAGCAGATAGCTCATCAGTTTGGATTTTGTAGAAGAGTTTCTGCTTGCTCTGTTTGAAAAGGGAAGAAAGGAACGGGGAAATAAGGGTGTCCCTGGCACTTTTGTATACACACACACACACACACACACAGCATCAGAGCATGGGCTAGTGTTTTGGGGAACACACAAATTGTAAGTGGTTTCTGTTGATATTGGCTAATGTTGAACAACTTCCTCTATTAGACCAAAAATGTCTGATGTGTAACATTTGCCAGTTCCCCTGACTTAAATGTTGCAACACTGACTGAATTCAAGTCACATTGAGACGTCCCTCAATGCAGAGCTGGAAAGGGGTAATATGCATGATCAGAAATCAAGAACATAGTATGATCTGGCTTCAGCACTTTAAATCCAATTGTGAAGTAAATCTATTTGGGCATGCTCAGAACTCAGAAGACAAAGAGACACCTAGCATTGGCATGTGTCTGTCATGAAAGGCCACCCATACACATTCCACGCAATTCAGAAGAGGCCTGTCCATAGGGTACAGATGCGGGAGGCCTCAAATCTCATATCCTGGTACGCTGGAAGGCTGAAAATCAGACTTCAAGTAGAATTTCCTGATAAGAGTTGGGATGGGGAAACACTAGGTAGAATATAAAGGTGCGCAGCCTCCTCCTGACTACTTCTCTGCCCCTCCAGAGTTTCCTGTGGCAGGCTTTTAAGGAGAGAGGCTTTGCCTAGATGGGGCTGTCAGACCTGAAGCATGAAGATACATGGCACTGGGTGGATAGCTCCTATCTGCTGTTCAGACAGATCCAAGGAATGGGGAACATGCTATAGAGTGGGGAGATACACTAATTACTTTTCTTGTTGTGATAAAATACCCTGACAAAAGCAACTTAAAGGAAAAAGTTTATCCTGGTTTACAATTCAAGGGAATAAATTCCATCATGATGGGGAAGGCATGACGGCAGGAAGGCATGGGAGTCTGGCTGTCTACCCTGCAGTAGTGAACATGAAGTGGGGCTGGGCTATAAAACATCAAGGCCCACCCCCAGTGATCCACTTTCTCCATACAAAACCTTCTCAAACAGCACCACTCGCTGGGGACCAAGTGTTCAAAGACATGAGCCTATGGGAGTAGGTTTCACATTCAAATCACAACACACAATGGTCAAATGCTGGCTTGAGCTCTCCTTGGAGTGTTTCCCCATACCCCAGACCCCTAAGCATAAGGGTCAGGACATGTACTGTGGAGGAAGGGCGTCTTCATTACCATGTGCAGATAAGATGGCAGGTGCCTGAAAAATCTACCATCAGAGAAGTAGGAGGAGCTTGCAGCCTGTGAGGGTTAAACATAATGTATTAATAGAAAATCTACAGGATACTGTGTTAGCTACTCTTCTCATCTCTCTGACAAAATACCCGACAAAAACAACTTGAGGAACAGTTGGCTTGACTCACAGGGTATGGTTCATCATGGTTGGGGAAGCCATGGTGGCGGTATGAGGCAGTTATCACACTGCATCCATAGTCAGGAAGCAGAGAGAAATAGACGACTGCTAGCTAAAAAACAAAAACCCCTCAGTTCACTTTCTCCAGTGTGGATGTGAGTGAGTGTGCTTATGTGCGTGCGTGTCTGTGGAGGCCAGAGGTCAACATCAGGTATCTTTCTTGATCATTTTCCTCCTTTTGTTTTGTTTTGTTTTTGAGAGGGTCTCACTGTAGCCCCAGCTGGCCTGGAACTCTATATGTTGACCATCTCAGACTGGCCCCGATCTCACAGAAATCTGTCTGCTTTTGAGACAGGGTCTCTCACTGAACCTGGAGCTCACTAATTTGTCTAGACTGCCTGTCCAGTAAGTTCCAGGAATCCTCCTATCTCTGATCTCTGGGCCCCCACTTCAGTGCTAGGGTTACAGGTGCACACTGCTACCATCCATTTTTTATGTGGGTGCTGAGGATCCAAACTTAGGTCCTCATGAGCATGAAGAGAGCACTTTATCTCCTGAGCCATCCTCCCAGCCCATCACTTTCTCCTTTTTATTTACTCCAGGACCCTAACTCATGAAATGGTGCCACCCTCAAATAGGGTGGGTCTTTGTACCTCAATTAAGTCAGTCTAAACACTGCCTCACTGACATGCCCAGAGATTTGTCTCCTAGGTGATTCTAGATCCTATCAAGTTGACAATTAACATAAACCATAACAGGTAGTAAAGCCAGCAGTCCATGGGACTGTTGCCATGGGAAACACTGCTTGTTATACTCACAGATCCCAAGTGAAGGACACACATCATTTCAAGTGGATTACGTGGGGGAAGTGCCAGGTCATGTCAAGATGAGGAGTGGGGGGACTGTAGGCACAAGCTCTTGTTCTGTTGATTATGGGAATGATGAGGTGAAACAGCACATGAAGCTTAGGATCAGCCAGTGGGTTCTAGGGTGTAGACACTGTCCCCAGTACTCCTGGGGAGGTGTATAGTGGCCCAAGTACACAGGCCAGTAAGGGAGGTAGCTAAGTATATGGAATCTGAACTGCTTGTTTGTCTATGGAAACCACACCCACAGTTAAATGATTCCTTTCGATCTGGAAGACCACAAGGATCATGGGCCAAGTTCATATGACTTGACCACATCATTGAGCCCACAATAAGGCATGTCTACCCTAGGCATACAGGACAGATGTGAAAGCATCTGGTTTCAATGATGGAAGCATGGTTGAGGGGCCAGGGAGATGGCTGAGTTGGTAGAGTGCTTGCTGTGTGTTCTAGCTTCATTGTTTGTTACTGTGATAGAAATACCCTGACAAAAAGCAACTCAGAGGCTGAGCGTGGTGGTGCACACTTTGTGTGTGTGTGTGTATGTGTAGTCATGCATGTCTCTCTGTGTAAGCAAGTGTGCATGCAGCTGTACGTGTGTGTGTGTGGGTCAAGTGTCTTCCTCATTCTCTTCCCATCTCATTTTTCAAGACAGGGTCTTTCACTTTTGACCATAACTGGCCAATTCAGCTAGGCTGGCTGGGCAGAGAGCCCCAGGGATACTCTTAGCAAATGCCTTACTAACGGAGCCATCTCGCCAGTCTTCCTTTTTTATTACTGTGTATTATCCCAGTTTATGGAGGGAGGAGATATATGTAGCATTTTCAAATTTAAAGCCTGTTACTTATTTGGGCTTTTTCAACTTCAACCATTCTGAATTAAGCATAGCATCTAGAGAGATTTTTGGTGTCTTCTTTGAGAGTATTTGATTGTCCTATGTTTGCAATATGGACAGTAGAGACAGACTACCCATATTTAAACTCCAACTCTACCATGAACCAACTGAGTGACTGTGGGCCAGTTACCCAATCTGGTTGTGCAGTTTCTCACAACTGCAAGATGGAGAACACTATTACCACAGTGCAGGGAGGTTCAAGGAATGAGTCCCTAAAATAGTCAGAAACATGCCTCAAATAGCAGACATTCAATTAGCAAGAGCATGGTGGTTCCATGAGAACACCAGAAATCACCATGAGTCAGGTCAGCAAAGCAAAGCAGCCTGGGGTCAAAGGGGCAGAGGATCTAGGAAGGAGCTGGGGGAAGGATCTGGGAAGGATCTGGGAAGGATCTGGGAAGGATCCGGGAAGGATCTGGGAAGGAGCTGGGAAGGAGCTGGGAAGGAGCTTGGAATGATCTGGGGAAGGAGCTGGGAAGGAGCTGGGAAGGATCTGGGAAGGAGCTGGGAAGGATCTAGGAAGGAGCCAGGAAGGAGCGGGAAAGGAGCTGGGGAAGGAGCTGGGAAGGAGCTGGGAAGGAGATGGGAAGGATCCGGGAAGGATCTGGGAAGGAGCCAGGAAGGAGCCGGGAAGGAGTCGGGAAGGATCTGGGAAGGATTTGGGAAGGAGCCGGGAAGGAGTCATTGGGAAGGAGCTGGATGGTGGGTGCTACTCTCCTCTGCTCACAAATTTATCATGAGGTTACAGGCTTTGATAAAAGCATCCCATAACAAGATCACAGCATGAATAGACTACATCCTTTTGCTATGAACCCCAAATTTTCCACACCTCTCCCTAAAAAAATAATAATCCTCGGTTATCTGGCTCCAGATGTGCTGTGTCAGAGGCTCAGCCCTTTCCTCTATAGGCATCTTCTGAAGTCCACACTCAGTTCCTTTTTTTCCTCTTCCTAAATGAAAGGACATTCAGAGAGCATCAGGTGATGGCAAATAAAAGCCGTGGTCTCCAGCAGTCCCAGGCACTAGGGGACAGTGGTGACCATGAGTGACTCCACAGAAGCCAGGACACAGCAGCTGGGTGCCCTGGGTGAGGATGGGTTGGAACTCTGGGAACTCAGGGAAGGGTCCGCAGCAGGTGGCTCAGGGTTGAGCCTGCCCAGGCTCTGACTGATCTGTTCCTTCAGATGATGAAGAGTGGATGATCAGTGGCACTAACTATTCAGTAAAAACCTCTGGATCATTACCATATTCTGGAATCAAAAGTTTCACAGGTACCACAGGGTGAGGGGCTGAGGAGGAGTGGAGTCTTTCCCAGAAATGGGTCTCATGAGCTGGAGGCCAGGACTTTGAATTTCTGGGTCCTGGGGAGGTGGAGGCTGGGGCAGGGAATCACACACTGTGGGAAGGTGAAGACTAGTAAAGGGAATTCTGGGTAGTGGGGAGGTAGAGGCTGGAGGAGGGAATCCTGGAAGGGGAGGAGGTGGAGGCTGAGGCAGAGAATTCTGGGCAGTGGGGAGGTAGAGGCTGGAACTGGCAATCCTGGGAGATGAGGAGGTGGTGGATGAGAGTCTAGACTCATGTGCCCTGCAGGAGGAGGATGTTCACAGTCTGTCCTAGAGCCAGGCTAAGGCAGGGAAATCATCATACTGAAACCCCCACTTTCTCTGGCAGGTTGTCTGGGACGTGGCCACATGGTCCTTCAGCTCCTCGCCTTCCTGTTCTTGGCTGGGCTCCTGGTGATCACACTTGCCCAAGGTCCTGCATATGGAGGGTTAGGCTCTGTGATTTGGCCCTTAAGCTAGGGACCTGTAGGTCTGAGAGGGAAGTGGGAAGGGAAAGTTCTAGGAACTTCTAGGGCCAGTCCCATCTCTGCTATAAGAGAAGGCAGGGAAGAGATGCAGGATCCTGGATCCATTACTCCTTATGGCTCAGCCTTCTGTGCATGTTCAGTTTCCTAGTCTTCAAATGGGATTAAAGAAGACATTGCTGAGAAGCTGCCCTTAATGCTGGAGTGGTGGCAGGTGTCTGTAGTCAGTTGGTGCTGAGATGCCCAGGGGTTTGAGAGAAACCTTAGCAACAGAGCAAGACCCATATGAAAAACGACATCATGTCCCCATGGACCCCATGCAGAATGTGGCACACGGTGAGTATTTAATAATTGTGCTTTTATTTTTCTCCCTCTGCACAGTCTCCAAGGTCCCAAGCACCCAGGGGCAGGAGAAGTGCAAGCCTGAACAGAAGGATGAAAGTAAGTGACTGGGGCTTCCTGGGCCTCAGAGGGTCTCCGTGGGGGAGGGGAGGGTTTCCTGAGTTATCAGACCTCTTTGAACATTTGCTTTCTCCTCTATGAAGTGAGACCACAAGATAACAGTAAAAATGGTACTTGGTGTTTAAAGGGGTCATGCACATAGTAGGCACTCAGTGTTTCACAGGGGCACGCCCACAGTAGGTAAACAATACTTACAGAGGCCATGCACACAGTAGGTTTGCAGTGTTTCACAGGGGCCATGCACACAGTAGGTAGACAACACTTACAAAGGCCGTGCACACAGCAGGCAATAAATGTTACCTTGAGTCATGCATAACATAGGTACTCTGTTCACAGGAGATGCACACAGAGTAGGCACTCAGTGCCCATAGAAGCCATGCACACAGTAGGCACACAATGCTACAGAGGCTGTGCACACAGCAGGTACTAAATGTTCACTGGGGCCATGCACAGCATAAGTACTCAAAATTCAAAGGGGTTGTGCACCGTAGTCACTCAGTGTTCACAGGGTTATGCACACAGTAGGTGCTCAGTGTTCACTGGGGTCATGCACACAGTAGACACTAAATGTTCACTGGGCCATGCACACAATAGGCATTAAATGTTCACAGGGGACATGCACATAGTTCACAGAGGCCTTGGACACAGTAGGCACACAGTGTTCACAGGGGCCATGCACACAGTGGGCCCTTAGTGTTCATAGGGGCTGTGTACACACTAGGCACTCATCTCAACAAGTTTCCTGGCCTCTGTTCTGAGCACTAAACCCCTATTTCTCCCAGTGTGGAGAAAATGGCTGGGACTGCTGGACTCTCCTGCAATCAAGGTGGGATTCCAGAGTGGACAGGGAATGGCTTCCCAGGGTGCCGTGTCAAGGGAAGATCCTGACTCTGGAGGGCTTAAGGTTGAGCAGACAAGGAACATGGGCATACTAGTATGAGTCCATCCTGACCTTCCACTTCTAGAGACACAATCCAGAGTGGGGACTGAGTGCTGGAGAGATGGCTCAGCAGTTAAGAGCACTGGCAGCTCTTCTAAGGGATCCAGGTTGGATTCCCAGAATCCAGTTTCAGGGTATCTGACGCCCTCTTCTGGCCTCCGAAGGCACTGCACACATGTGGTGCATTTACATCCATGCAGGCAAAACATCCACATGTAAAATTTATCCACCTGCACCTCCAGCACCAGGGGAGCTGGAAATAAGTGATGTGTACTGTCAGTGTTCAGAAACTGGCATGATCTGGCTCCCGCCCATTAAACCCAGCCAAGAATAAATATAGTGGGTATTTAATAACTGCACTTTCTTTTCTTGATAGTCTCTCAAGAGCAAAATGAGTCCAAGCAGGTGCTCGCTGAGCAACTGAACGAGCTGAAGACCGAACTTCGTGAGTGACCAGAAAATGGGAACCTCCCGCCTCCATAGGGCTCAGCCTTCTGGAGTCATGAGACCTCTTTCAGTCTCATTTTCCTCTTTGGGAAATTGAGACTGGAGGGTAGCAGCAAGAATGGCATTTGGTGGTTACAAAGACACAGTAAGCACTCAGTGTTTATAGTACTATACAGATGGTAAGCATTCAATATTCACAGGGTCTGAATCAGAGTTCTATAGAGGAGCGGAACTGACAGAATGAATATATATCACAAAGGGATTTATTAGACAAGCATATGTGATTTGGGTTGGGAAGCCCAGCAGTAGTATGCTGGAGAGACTGGGGCCCTCTCCTGAGGCTGGGATGCCTGAGCAGTCCTCTTCTACTACTAAAGGACTCTAGGATTCCTGGAGAATCATGGGGTCTTCCACCCACATATTAGGTGGTAGAGGCAAGGTAGCAACGTCAGAAAGGATGGAAACCATGTTAGGAGCAATAGGGTAGATGACTCCCCAGCAGGGAGCAAAGGCAGGTAGGCAGACACAGTCCTGCTTTTCCCAAGGATGTTTTTTTATATCGGGAGCACCGCCGACAGGTGCTGCTTGCTCAATAAATCCTTCAAGGAAACACCCTTACAGACCCATGCTTGTCTCTTAGCTGATTCCCAGATTCAAACAAGTTGATGGCCAAGATTAACTATCCCAGAGACCATGCACAGAGTAGGCAATCAATGTCCATAGGGCTGTGCACACTGTAGGCATTTAGTGTTTACAGGGGCCATACAAACAGTAGATATTCAGTTAAGCCAATCCTATGGCTTTTATCCTGACTCTCTCTACTTCTTTTAGTTTTAATTTAATTTTTATTCTATGTGTATGAATGTCTTTCCTGCATGTATGTAAATGCACCCATGTCATTCAGTGCCCATGGAGGCCAGAAGAGGGTGTCAGGTCCCGTGGAGCTGGAGTTACAGATAGTTGTTAGCTCCCATGTGGGTGCTAGGAACCAAATCCGGTTCCTCTGCAAGAACAGTCAGTGCTCTTACTGCTGAGCCATCTCTCCAGCCTCTACAGTAGGTGTTTAATAATGGTAATTCCTTTCATCCTTGGCACAGTCTCCAAGATCTCCCAGGGACATAACAATTCCATGCAGAAATTCTTTGAGCAACTGACCCAGTTGGAGGCTGAACTCTGTAAGTGATCAGAAACCAGGGGCCCTGGAGCCTTAGGTTTTCATAGAGGGGTTAATTTTCTTGAATCCTCAGATTTATTTAAGACTCATTTTCTTCCTCTGGGAATTGAGACAATGGGGTAACAGCAGGGATGATAATTTGGTATTTGCATGGACTGTGCACACAGTAGACACTCATGTTCACAGGAATTGTGCATACTATAAGCACTCACTGTTCACAAGGGCCATGCATATATTTATTAGGCACCATAAATAGTTTTCACAAGAAACGTATATGCAGTAAGGATTGTCTTCACTAGGGCTGTGCATCCAGTAGACAGTAAAGTCAGTCTCTTGGCCTCTATTCTGTCTTGAGGAGATGGGTGGGGACTTCTGGGGTGAGGAGGGGATTCTGAAAGTGGACAGGGGATGGCTTCCCAAGACTGTTTCAAGGGAAGACCCTGACTCTGCAAAGCTTAAAGGTTGAGCAGATCCAGGAACCTGGGCATCCTAGTGTGGGCTCACCCTAACCAGCCTCCTCCAACAGATGCAGCCGGTGCTGCCCTAGCCTCTTGGAGGTTTGGTTTCCTAGTCTTCAAAGGGGATTAAATAAAGCATCAGTCAGAAACTGTCCTAGTGGTTGGGTGGCAGCATGTGTCTATAGTCTGAGCTACTCAGGAATCGGAGAAAGGATAATCATTTGTGCCCAGGAGTTTGAGATGAGCCATGACAACATAATGAGATCCATAATAAAGGATATAACATTCCTAGGGACCCAGTGTAAGACATGACATACAGTGTTTAATAATTGCTATTTCTTTCTGTGTTGTCCCCCCACCCTTGGCACAGTCTCCAAGATCCCCATCTCCCAGGGACAAAATGAGTCCATGCAGAAGATTTCTGAGCAACTGATCCAGCTTAAGGCTGAACTCAGTGAGTCACCAGAAAACCAGGGTCCTGGAGCCTCAGGGCTCAGTAGGGGGTCAATTTGCCTAAGTCGTCAGATGTCTTTGAGCCTCAGTTTCCTCCTCTGTGAATTGAGACCACAGGAAAACAGCAAGGACAGCACTTGGTGTTCAAGGAGCATGCACACAGTAGGCACTCAATGTTTATAGGAACTATGCACACACTAGGTACTCAGTAGTCTCAAGAGCCATGTTCATAGTAGACAGTCAATGTTTATAGGAACCAGACACAATGCTGAGTGTTTACAAGAGCCAAGCACACCGTAGACACATAATGTCCACAAAAACACTGTAGACAGTAGGCACTCAGTGTTCATGGGGACATACACACAATAGGTATACAATATCCAGAAGGGTTATGTTCGGAGTAGGCACTCAGTGTTCATGAGGGCATGCACTCAATAGGAACTCAGTGCTAAAAGGTGCTATGCACTCAGTAGGCATTCAATGAAGCCAGTCTCCAGGCTCTGCATTCAAAGTATCTTATTTCTAACCTCCTTGAGCAGATGTGACCAGGACTTCTGAGTGTTTCCTAGTCTTCAAAATGGATTAACAAGATATCAGTTAGAAACAGCCCTAGATGCTAGGGTGGTGGAAGGTGCTGTAGACCCAGAAGCCGAGGGAGAGTGAGCACTTGTGCCCAGGGTGTAAGAGAAACCTTGACCACAGGGTGAGACTCATCTTAAACAATAACATAATGGGGCTGAAGAGATGCCTCAGTGGTTAAGAGCACTGGCTGCTCGTGCAGAGTACCTGGGTTTGGGTGTCAACACCCACATGGCAGCTAACAACCATCTGTAACTCCAGTTCCAGGAGATACTGCACCCTCTTCTGGCCTCCATGGGCATTGCATGACACAGGTGCACTTACATATGTGCAGGCAAAACACCCCTACACATAAAATAAAAATTTGAAAATAAAAAACAAATTGCAATGTCCTGGGGATGCAGCATAGAAAATGGCATGCTGTGGGAATTTAATAATTGCGCTTTCTCTTTTCTTCTTGGCACAGTCTCCAAGATCACTATCATCCAGAAACAGGATGATTCCAAGCAGGAGAAGATCTCTCAGCAGCTGACCCAGCTGCAGGCTCAACTCTGTGAGTGAACAGAAACCAGGGACCTTGGGGGTTCAGAAGGTCTCTGTGGGAGGTCAGTTTGCTAGAGTCGTCAGATCTCTTTGAGCCTCAGTTTCCTCCTCTGAACTGAGCCCATAGAGTAACAGTAAGGATGGCACTTGGTGTTTACAGGGGCCATGCATACAGTAGGTACTCAGTGTTCAGAGGGGATGTACACACAGCATACACTCAGTATTCACAAGAACCATGTACAGTAAGCACTCAGTATTCACAGTGCCTGTGCACATGAACTCAGTGTTCACAAGGGTTGTACACACAGTAGGCACTAAATGTTCACTGGGTCCATGCACACAGTAGGTACTCAGTGCTCGCAGGGCCATGCACACAGTAGTCAAGAGAGTCTCCTGGCTTCTGTTCCAAGCTTTATGTCCTGTTTCTCCCAGTATGGGAAACATGGAGCCAGGACCCCTGGGCTCCCATGGGGTGAGAAGGGATTCCAAAAGAGGACAGGGAATGGCTTCCACAGGGTGCTGTGCCAAGAAAGGACCCTGACTCTGGAGGACTTGAAGGCTGAGAAGACAAGGAGCATGGGAATACTAGCACGAATCCATCCTGACCAGCCTCCCTCAACAGACAGCCTGTGCTGCCCCTGCCCCTGGGACTGGACATCATTTGTAGGAAACTGCTACTTCTTCTCCATGTCCCAACGGAATTGGAACGATGCCGTCACAGCCTGCTAGGAGATGGGGGCCCAACTAGTCATCATCAAAAGTGAGGAGGAGCAGGTAGGACTGGTGGTGTGCCATCCTGGTCTGGCACATGCACTTGGCCCCTGATAACCTACAGGTGTGGGAAGCGAGCACAGCTGAGTCAGCCAGATGGCACCCTGGCTGGCTGCCAAACCTCATGGGACCAGCATCATAGTGAGCCAGCATCATAGTGAAGAGAATACGAGAGAATAAAGGAGAAAGAGAAACAGAAGCTTGAACCTCACCTTGGTGTCTGTGTCGTCTTTCCTGGACTCTGCTGGACAGAGTCCCGGCTCGCGACATACAGGTAAGATCAATTGCCAATTTTATGTGTAAGGGATGCCACTTGAAAAGAGAAGAGGCCCACGCTTTCTGCATAGAATCACATTTATGACCCGAATACTGTAAATACTTCGGGGAACACTCAGAATGCAAGTGATATCATAGTTGTGCTGGTCAGTATTTAACCACTTGCTCTATGAGATCAAAGAGCAAGTATTTGGACTCAGCAGATAAAGGTGCTTGCCGCTAACCCTGACACCCTGAGTTTGATCCCTGGGATCCACAAGATAGAAGGAGAGAATCAACTCCCACAAGTTGTCTTCTGACCTACACACCCATGTTGTGGCACATACATGCCTCCTCCATACAGACATATAAATAAATGTGGTTAAAATAATTTTTTTTTAAGCTGGAGAGATGGCTCAGCAGTTAAGAGCACTGGCTGCCCTTGCAGAGGACCAGGGTTCAGTTTCCAGCACCAACATGGCAGCTAACAGCTGTTTATAACTCCAGTTCCAGGGGATCTGATGCCCTCTTCTGGCCTCCATGGGCATTGTACAAAAGAGGTCCACTTACATACATGTAGGCGAAACACTCATACACATAAGTAAATAATTTTAATTTTTTACTTAGTTTTTATGTGTTATGAGTGTTTTGCCTGTATGTACCTAAGTGCACCCATGTCATGCAAAGCAGACAGTTGTTTGTCACCACATGGTTGATAGGAACTAAACCCAGGTCCTCTGCAAGAGGAGCCAGTGCTCTTAACTGCTGAGCCATCTCTCCTGCTATAGGGCTGGAGAGATGGTTTGCTTCCCGAGCTTGAGGACCTGAGTTCAAACCCAAGAACTCATTTTAAAAGGGGGGAAGGGGAGTGGTCAATGAGATGGCTCAGCAGGTAAAGTCACTTGCCAGCAAGCTGAATGACTTGAGTTCAATCTTGGAACCTACATGATGGAAGGACACAACTGACTTCCACAAATTTTCCTCTGACCTCCACATGCATGCTGTGGCATGTATGTGCATGCTTACACACACAACACACAATTAAAAAATATAATTAAAAAATTTAAAGCCAGATGTTTTTGTGTGTACCTGTAATCCCAGAGTGGGGGAGGAAGCAAGAGACAGCAGGACCCACTCCCTGGCTACCCAGCCTAGCCTAACGGACATATTTCAGGCCAGTGGGAGACGTTGTCTCAGAAAAGGGGAGTGGGCAGGGACTGGAGAGATGGCTCAGCAGCTGGCTGCTCTTGCAGAGGACCTGGCTTTGGTTCCTAGCACCCACATGGTGGCTAACACCTGTCTGTAACTCCAGTTCCAGGGGAATCTAACATTCTCTTCTGGCCTCTGTGGGCATTATATGCACATGGTGCACATACATACATGCAGGCAAAGTGCTCATACACATAAAATAATGATAAATACATTTAAAAAGTTAAAGGTAGATGGCACCTGAAGAATAACAGCCAAGACTGTCATCTGGCTCCACACATGTGTGCTTATATACGCAGACACGTGCGCACACGCGCGCGCGTGCACACACACACACACACACACACACACCCTGCTGTGTGGCATTTGATAGTTCCCCCGGTGTAGATATCTCCATCATGGCTAATTTCAAACTTCTTTTTAAATTTATTTTTATTTTATGTATATGAGTGTTTTGCCTGCATGAAAGTGCACCCACATGTGTGTAATGCCTGTGGCGACCAGAAGAGAGTGTCAGATCTCCTGGAACTGGAGTTATGGATGGTTGTTAGCCGTGATGTTGGTGCTGGGAACTGAACCCCAGTCCTCTGCAAGAGCAGCCAGTGCCTTTAACCACTGAGACATCTCTCCAGCTTCTAATTTCAAATTTAGAATGGGACGTCTCTCAGTGCACGTCTGAACAGAATCCATATGCACCTTTGGCAACCATGAACACAGATGAGCTGGTTCCAACACATTGAAGACAGTTATGAGTGAATGATTTCCTCTGGACATTCTCAGAACTCCTAAGACAGACAACCATGCTGCTTTAGCAAGTGTGTGTGAGGAGAGGGCTGCTGTACTTCTGTGTGCCAGGGCACATCTGCTAATGGGATACAGGTGTGAAAACAGCTGAACCACCTTAGCACCCCAGGGTGCTCATGGCCCGGTGTGGGAGAAGGTGAAGTGAGATTGCAGGTAGAAGCTTCTGCAGCAGTTTAGTGAGATGCAAGGTGGAAAGAGGGGCATGAGGGAAGAGCTCTCCTCCCTTCACTCCTCTCCTCACCCTACAGACCTTCCTGCAGCAGACTTCTAAGGCTAAAGGACGAACCTGGATGGGGCTGTCAGACTTTAACAAAGAAGCTGCGTGGCTCTGGGTAGATGAGAGAGTAGGAGTTCAAAGAGAGAGTGAACTCTATAGAGTGAGAATAAACAGGTCTCATATTATGACTTGGACTATCCTTGACGTTCATTCTCCTCTCCCTGACACCTTAGAGAGGTGCCCACATTTGCTGCCGCTGCTGATGGAAGATGGTCTTCATACCAGTGTGCACAAAATAGCAGCAAAATTCTATTTACTGGAAGCAGTAAAATGAGCTTCCAGCCTGAGGGATATTGATTTTAATATTGGGTATTAACAGAAAATATGAAATAAAATAAGGCCACTAGGTGAGGGGATATTGACAATCAAAAGATAGCAGCTAGGCGTGGTGGCACATGCCTGTAGTCCCAGCACTTGGGAGGCAGAGGCAAGCGCACTCCCTAATCAACTTCCTGATAGACTTTGTGAGATAATTGCTAATCACATCCTAGGACCAGTTTCCTGGGACTCCAACCAGCAGCAGCCCTTTTTCTTTTCTTTTTTTTTTTTTAAACTATTATTGTTACTATTGTTATTGTTGTTGTTGTTGTGTGTGTGTGTGGCCCTGGGTACAGGCAGATAACTTTGTCCAGTATTTTATTTTTATTTTATTATTTTATTTTATTTTATTTTGTGTATTGCCTGCATGTAGATAAGTGCACCCATGCCATGCAGTGCCCATGAAGAGGCTGTCAGATTCCTTGGAACTGGGGTTACAGACAGTTGTTAGCTGCCATGTGTGTGCTGGGATTCAAACCCAGGTCTTCTGCAAGAACAGCCAGTGTTCTTAGCCACTGAGCCATCTCTCCAGCCCTCAGAATTTTTTTTAAAGAATGGAAAATTTAAAAGAACAAAGAAGGGAAAGGAAAGAAGAAAAGGGATAGATAGAAGGAAGGGTAGGGAAGGGCAAACTATGGTATAAAGATAGTTTTAAGGGAGGGTGGAAAGGTGACTCAGCTGTTAAGAGCACTGGCTGCTCTTGTAGAGGACACGGGTTCAGTTCCCAGCACCCACATGGAAGCTAACAACTGTCTGTAACTCCGGTTCCAGGGGATCTGACACCCCCTTTTCATCGCCACAGGCATTGCATGCACAGGTACACTTACATGCAGGCAAACAGTCATACATATAAAATAAAAAAAATAAATCTTTTCTCTTTAAAATATTTTATTATTTTATTTTATGTGTATGAGTGTATTGCCTGTATATATGTAAGCACATCCATGACCTGCAATGCCTGCAGAGGTCAGAAAAGGGCATCAGATCCCCTGGAACTGGAGTCACAGATGGTTGTTAGCCACCAGGTGGGTGCTGGGACTCAATCCTGGGTCCTCTGCAAGAGCAGGCAGTGCTCTTAACCACTGGGCCATCTATCCAGCCCAATAAATCTTTTCTTGCAAAGATAATTTTAAAGGTGTTCACAAGCTAGGTGTGGCAGTACACGCCTCTAATCCCAGCATTCAGGAGGCAAAGGCAGGTGGATCTCTGTGAGATTGAGGCTAACTTGGTCTCTGGGCTGGCTGGGGCCCTGTATCAATGAAACAAAAACAAACAAAAAAAAAATTAAGATGCTCACAGATCCAGAGAGAAAGAGGGTGTGTGGGAGAGATCACAGTATAGGGATCCACATGGGGAAGGACTACTACAAATTAAGATGGAAAAGAAAGACAAGCAGTTGGAAAGAGCCTTTATTTTTGTGTACGTGGGAAAGAATAGGAGAGACAGGCTTAGCATCAGCTAGTTTGCAACATTTCAGAGTCCTTCATTGGAGCTCCCCCTGGTTATCTGGTACTTGATGTAAGGCAGGTGTCTAGTGGTCCAGAGTAGAAGAACCCAATAAGGAAGGTGGTTTGTGGGTGTTACATCTGAAAACCACAGCCTCTCAAGCACAGAACAGGGTTCAGAGCCAACTGACTGAGGCATGTCACTGGGACCAGAACAAGGTATGTCTGCCACATGCATTGAGACAGGATGTGAAAGGCAAGTTTCCAGAAGCTAAAAACATCATGGTTCCTAGTGTGCCTGTGAGGCAGACTGATGTCTTATGGACTTTTCAGCTTCCAAAAGTATTGGAACAAAGGGGAGCCCAACAACATCGGAGAGGAAGACTGTGCAGAATTCTCTGGGGATGGCTGGAATGATTCTAAATGTGATCTCAGAAAGTTCTGGATCTGCAAGAAGGCTGAAACCCTGTGCACCACCAGCTAAGAGCCAGCTCATCTCAGCCTCTGCTTTCCAGACTACTCTGCTAGATGGATGAACTTTCCTGAAGTTCATGCCAGCTCCTTCATCCTCTCTGTTGGCACTGGGATACTAACAGAAGCAGCTGGATTCTTTTTTGCCAAATTTCTCATCTCCTGAGTGTATAGTTTCATGTTTGCTGCTATGACAAAATACTCTGACAAAAAGCAACCTAGGGGAGAAAGGATTTATTTATAGCTCACAGTTGCAGGTTACAGTCCATAACTGAGTGGAAGTCACATTGGCAGGAGCCCGAGACAGCTGGTCACATCATATCCATAGTCAAGACCAGAGAGACATGAATGCATGCAACCTCACTTGCTTTCTTGCTACTAAGCTCAATTTATCTACTCTTACACAGTGCAGGACCCCTTGCCTAGGGAATGGGACCACTCACAGTAGGTAAAGTCTTCCCACATCAGTCAACTTGATTAACACCATCCCTCATGGACAGGTCAACCCAATGTAGACAGTCCCTCATTGAGACTCTTCCCAGGCAATTCTAGGTTGTGTTGCATTGACAATTAAAGCTAACTGTTATAATGAGACTGCATCTTTACTGTCCTTCCACCTTTGCCTCCAGGTTTCCTTGTCTTAGGACTCGTGGATATCACCCAACGTATCACTTTAATACGGTTATTAGATGTAGGATGCATTCAAGACCTGGCTGTTTTCCATTAACGTACTCTCTCTTCTTTACTGAAATCAGAAGGGTGTGTGTTGTGGGTGTGAGTGTGTGTGTTTTGTATGGTGTTTGCATACACAGGTGTGTATGTGTGCCATATGATGTACGTGTACACACGTATGTATGTGTATATGTACAAGCACTCGGAGGCCAGAGGAAGACAATGGTGTCCTCCTATATTGCTCTCTATCTTAGTCCCTTGAGACAGGGTTTGGAGTGCGCTGTTTTTCAAGTAGGCTGGCAACCAACAACATCCAGTGATCACCCTGTCTCCAATCACTCCCCAGTGATGGGATTACAGGCACACTTTTCCATGCCCTGCTTTTAGGTGAGTGCTGGCTGTCTGAACTCCGGTCCTCTTGATTGCACAGCAAGTGCTGTTACTCACTGAGCCATCTCCCCAGCCTTTGATCAGAGAATTTTCATTGTCCTGTGTTAAAGTTTCATTTCTGTTCCTGTGATAAAATACCCCGAGGAAAAGCAATTTAATGATGGCTCAGCAGTTAAGAGCACTTTCATTCCATTTGCTCAGTTCCTATCCACCTGTCTGAAACCCTTTGATTAGGAACCTTTACCTGCATGGATGTGTGTCTTGTGTATGTAATGCCTGTAGATGCCAGAAGAGGGTGTCATATCTCCCGGAATTGGAGTTACAGATAGTTGTTAGCCACCATGTGGGTGCTGAGAACCAAACCTGAATCCTCTGAGGAAAAGCAGCCAGTGCCCTTAATTGCTGAGCCATCTCTCCAGCCCCTATTTTTAAAAATTTGTGTGTGTGTTTGTATGTATGTGTGTCTGTGTGTGTCTGAATGTCTGAGTGTATCTGCACCATCTAAGTATAGGTGCCTGTGGAGGCCAGAAGAGGGTGTCAGACCCCCTGAAACTGGAGTTACAGGTGATTGTGAGTCACCTGAGGTGGGTGCTGGGAACTGAACTCAAGTCCTCTGCAAGAGCAGCAGATGATCTTAAGAGTAGAGCCATCTCTCCAGCCCCTAAGCTAGTATATTTATATCTCAATGCCTGATAGTCATGGATCGTCAGCAGGAGGAATTACCAGGTTTCAGCCTGGACAATGAGCTACAGTGACCAGGGAAACACACATACACATAAAATAAATAATAACAATAAATACACCAGCTATCTTCTCTCTTGATGGATCCCCAGGGGTCACTGAGATCTCTTCTCAAGGAAGAACATGCTTCCTCAGCTGCTGGATGCCCCATCGGAGGCAGCTGTTACCTGTGAGCTTAGACTCTGATGTGAGGAACTGCCTTCTTATCTGGGACAGTTCATGTGTGTAGAGGGCAATGAAGATCTTATCATCTTGGGCAATGTGGGACAATGTTGTAGTCTTTTGTGTTTCTTAGCCCTCTTTTTCTGAAAAATATTGTCTATTTATTTATTTACTTATTTTTCTGTGTATGTGTGTTTTGCCTGTGTATATGTAAGAGTACCACGTGTGTGCAGTGCCTGTGGAGGTCAGAAGACAGTGCTGTATCCCCTGATATCCAACTGCCCCTTCCTCTGCTTCCAGAGTGCTGGGATTAAAGGTACAGGTCACCACATTTGACTTATTTATTTTTACTTTATATGTATCAGTCTTTGCTTGCATGTATGTAAATGTACTCATGCATGCATTGCCAGCACGGAGGTCAGAATAAGGTATCAGATCCCCTGGAACTGGAGTTATGAATGGCTGTTAGCCACCATATGGGTGCTGGGAACCAAACCCAGGTCCTCTGCAAGAGCTGAGCAAGCTTAACCATTGAGCCATCTCTCCAGACTGGGTCTGTACCTTTATTTATGATGCTGGTCGCTCTAGGAGGCCAGAACTCATAGCCTGAAGAAATCAGGCCAAACCCCTTCCTGGAGCTGACTAGTCCCTGCTGGGAGAATTAAAACAGGCAAGTTTAGTGGGAGGGGGAGCAATCACAAGACAAAGGAGAACTATGCACGCCTCCCCTGATGCCCAGGCCCCTAACAGACTTCAGGAACAGTGTAAACAAACATTCCTTCTATGTACAGTCCCTGACCAGTTATAGTCAAGCTCTTCATATGCCTTCAAGCTATGTATCCCATAACTAAATTATGTTTTATCCTAGAGCACCCATGGAGAATGTTATAAAATTTACCTCTTCTCTGTGTTCCCAAGGGATTCAGATATGCACCCCTTACAGCTGGTTCACCCCAGGAGCCCAGGTTTTTTTTTTTAATGTTTGTTTCTTTGAATTTTTTCTTTTTTATTGAGCTTTTTAAACTTCATACAACATTTCCCACTCAAATCCACACTCCCTCCTCCCACAGCCATGCCTCCCCCATCCCTCACTAAACCCTACACACTGCCATAGATGCTGATTCCTATTCATTCAAGTGTTTAATACTCAAGTGTCCTTCAATGTAAATGCTTCCACTGGATTCTAGTCAGCCCATCCAGTGGTCAAATGTAAGTCATACTCTCCCTCACCCAGCAGCAATCAGTCTCAAATAATTCTCAATCTAGTGCTGACCTGCCACCTATGTCTCACCTCCCCTTTGGGCCCTTGTTTCATTGAGCTGACATGGGTCCTGCACTCAATGTCACTGCTGCCACAGGCTCACATGAGCAACCCTCCAGTAACCTGGAAACCTCCACCTCCCTATAATCATGAACCAGCCTTGGCTCTTAAAATCTTTCCACTTCTCTTCCACAATGGTCCCTGAGCCATGGGTGAATGAGGTTCCATAGGAGTCTCATCCTACACTCTACAGCCTCTTATTCTCCAAAACTTGGCCAGATGTGGCCTTCTGTGTGCATTGCACTTTGATGTATATGGAAACCTCACTGGTGAGAGTTGAGGGGTGCATTAGCCCTCTCTCTACCCCTTATTCCACTATGTTCCATGGGACTTGGTTGTAGAGATTCAACTGCAGATGTGCCACCTAGTACTGGGCATCTCTCTCCCAGGAGTATGTTCTGTGTGACTGACCAGATGTGCAATTCTTCAGTAGCCTCCATCTGATACAAAAAGAAGATTCTTTGATGAGTGCTGTATGGCATGCTTGTCACTCTAAGGGAGGTCTCTATACGTTCATGAATAAAAGAATTTACTTGGACTAAGAATCCGCTTAGGTGCCTGGCTATTGAAAGTTTTCTCACCCTCTTCAGTGGTCATCATCACAGCTGTTTCTCTATTAATAGCTCGAGTGTCAGAAACTTCTTCAGCCTATTATAACATTCCTCTCTCCTCCAATTATGATAGTTTTTTTTCTCTTCAAGCCATTTGTTTTTATTTAAGTGATCTCCAGAAAGCAACTCATTTTCCCTTCAAGATCATCCTATTCCCCAATATATTCACTATATTTCCAATGTGCATAAGCCTCATCTCCAAATTAGATCATAGACTATCTCTGTCTTTTTCTTTGTCCCTTTAAAATTTGTGTGTGTTTGAATGGCCTGACCCCATTCCTCCAAAGACCCTTTCACATATTTCAGCTTTGTGCTTGTAAGTATCCAGGACTGATGAAATGGTTCAGTGGGTAAAGGTGATTGTCACCAAGCCTGATGACCTGAGTTCGATCCTTGAGACCCACATGGTGGAAGGAGAAAACCTACTCCTGCAAGTTGTCCCCTGACCTCTACACGCACGTTTTCCAGCATGCACACATGCATGGGTGCATACATGTGCATGCGTATGCACACACACACACACGTAGATAGATGATGCCAGATAGATAGATGATTGATAGATAGATAGATAGATAGATGGATGATAGATAAATTTGATAAAGAAAAATGATTAGGCATCCATGTTTATATTTCTGCATTTATTATTGAATGACTACATGTCTTTACTTCCACATGAGCATTTATAAAAATAATATATTTAGAACTGGTTGTTGTGGTGCATGCCTCTAATCCCAGCACTTGGGACGTAGAGGTAGGTGGATCTCTGAGAGTTAAGGCCAGTCTTGTCTACATAGTGAGTTCTGGGACAGCTGGGGCTGCAAGGAGACCCTGTCTCAATTTTTATACTTCTATTGTGCTTGTCACACAATACAAAGGACTCTCAAACATTTTTTAGCAAGATGGCTCAGCAGGTAAAGGCATTTGCCGTGCAAGTCTGAGGACCTGAGTTTGTTTTCCAAGAGAGAATCAACATCTGCAAGTTGTCCTCTGACATCCACAAGCATGCTGTGGCACACAGGATCTCTCTCTCTCTCTATCTCTATCTCTCTCTCTCTCTCTCCTTCTCTCTCTCCCTCTCTCCTCTCCCCTCTCCCTCGCTCTCTCTCACTTGCTCTC